TTATGATTCAGGACTGTTTGCAGTGGTGTGATTTAAGGAAGTTGAGCAAAATTTTGGTGGAGTCTAATGATGAGGAGTTTAGGGACCTTGAGATGCCCCTAGGAATGGAGGTGAGGTTCAGACAATGTGGCCCAAGGGTGAACTGTGTTGCTAAAAGTTTGATTGAAAGATTCTTTGGGCAGGACATTATTTTTAAAATGATGGGGGGGGGGGGGGGGGGGTGGTTTCCCAAGAGGCTTTGAACATATCTTAGCCTTAGAAGGGGTTCCCCATTTTTCCTTTGTTCCTGGTTGTGATTTTGTTTAAAATGTGGACTATTTGGTGTTGGTTGGGGTCTATGGTCTGGGACCCTGGCATTCTCTCCTTTAAGACCAATGGTTTGTCAACCCAATGAAGGAACTTTGAGGGTGATAACCATGGCCCTTGAAAAAAGATGAGTGAGCTCCGAGGGGGTCTATGGAAGGTGTACAAAAAGATATCAGAAAAAAAGAGAAAGAAAAAGTGGAAAATGGGGGAAAATGAAAGGACTTCTGAGCTTATCTGCTTGTTGAGGAACCCTCTAAGGAGGCTGATGGCTGAAGAGGGTTCTGATGCAGTATAGATAGATGGAAGCTCTGGCATACACACCTGAGGATGGTGCAAATGCAGTTGAGGATGGGTATGCACGGGCTTTACAAGCTGATGAACCCAATGATGGGCTGTGCATTTGGGCAGTCTCTGAGGGTGTACAGACTGTTTGGGACTGGCAGCAGAGATGAAGCTGAAAGAGCTGATCTGCTGTGCAGATTTTGTATCAGCCGATGATTATTCCAGATGGCAATCATGAGGCTGAGTAGAGGCAGAATATTTGCAGGTTAAAGACATGGAGAGCTGCTTGAGGACTTGGAACTTATTAGAAGCTGAGCTGAAGCTGCTTGATGTCCTGGAGCTGATCTGAACTCTTCAGAAATGAAGCTTCAGTGAATAGTTTAATGTGCTGATCTACACTATTGCTTAGTGTGGAAATGAGGCTTTTCTTGGGGTCATGGGTCACTATTAGAATGTTTAGCGTTGTTTGTATTGCTTATGCTTGTATATTGGCTGGGGGGCTGACTTGTCAAAGGGTGTGCTCTCTTAGTTGATGCTTTAATTGATGCTGGCCTGGCTTGTGTTGGATTGGTTGAAGTTAGGTTGAGCTCCAAGTATAGCATACACTCTGAGTTGGGAGTGCCTTGCATGGTCGGTGATCCCTTAGGCTCTGGAAAGTTTATTGGAAATGAAGGGGGTGATGAAGAATGAATGGCAGGGAAAAGAAAGAAAAAAGGAAAAGAAGGGGGCTTGGAGTGTTGGTGTGGCCATTGCTTAGGTCGGAGTCTTAAAAGTTTTCCCGGGTTCAAACACATTGCGCTGTGATGTGGGGGGTTGATTCTGGGCCTAAGGGTGGTGGGTGAGGGAGCCATTGCTCACATCGGGGCCTAAAAGCTCTCCCGGACTAAAACATAGTACATTATGCCGAAGGGGTGGGCCTTTGGTGTGAGGGTGGATAGGGGGAAAGTACCATTGCTTAGGTTGGGTCCTTTAAGTCCCCCCGGACTAAAGCTAGTGCGCTATGCCGGGGAGGATGGGGCCTTGGCTTAAGGGTGGTGGGGGTAGAAGAGATCCTACTTGATAAGGGCATCGGTCACATCCTTTGTGTGGGACGGGGAGCTCAACTTTAGCTAAAGGTTTGTGGATGTTTGGTGAGGAGGTTGCATGATTGAATATAGGATCTGCTAGGAGAGCACGTCTTTGATTAGATTGAGCCTTAGGCCTTTATATGATTACACTGTACATAACATAGTTTTGGGAATAAGTTAGACCTAGCTGCATCTTTGATTCGGAGGGCCACTTTTGGGTCACCTTGTTCAGACTTGAGTTTTGAAGTTCAATATAGTTTTGTTTTTCTAAAAAAAAAATAAATAAAAAAATTTAAAAGTCAAAGTACATTGTGAGAAAGAAATGAGGACTGCCATCTAGGGTAGGACTCTGTTTGTGGCCAAAATTTTTACAGTGAAAAGGAACAGTCTAACAGACAATGCGAATAGGACTTCTGACAAGCGTGAGTTTGAGAGGTAACCCGCTCACTACGGGGATTACTCCAAACTTCCAAAGTCACCAGAAAATATTATTATTAATATTAATATTAATATTATTATTATTATTATTATTATTATTATTATTATTATTATTATAACATTTTTATAAATTTGATATTTATAGTTTAGGAAAATAGCTTATATAGTACTCTAATATAAAATGTCTATATATTATTATCATTAAAGATAAGAAAAATATATGATGGATGTATATGTATGACAATAATAGTTGAAAAAAGATAATGAAAGATATAATAGTAGGAATATTTTTGACTAAAATATTATATAGTGCAATTCTTATAGCATAGGACATCTGACAAGCGTGAGTTTGAGAGGTAACCCGCTCACTACGGGGATTACTCGAAACTTCGAGAGTCACCAGACAACATCGCATGAGGAGTCCCCTCCCTTTGATCCAAAAACATAGGAGAATGTGTCAAAATTTAAAAAAAAAAAAAAAAAAACCATGTCCTCAACTCCTTGTGCTTCTATATTTGGAAATTGTGCTAAAAATATACGAGTAGGGATGGCAATTTCAATCCGCTCCCGTGGATATTCACCCAAATCTATCTTGCATGGATCAGATTTTTTTTGGGTGATAATGAGTGGTGGATCAGGGGTTGGTTTAAAAAAAAAAAAAAGTAAATTCGTGGTGGGTTGGGTTGGATTTGAATTTTATATATATAACCCGCCTAAAATCTCACCTAACCCACCATGTATGAGTGTATATATATATATATATATATATATATATATATATATATATATATATATATATATATATATATATATAGTTAATTATAAAAATTTCAATAACTTTGGGTAACTTTTTACTATTTTTGTATTGAAACTACTAAGCTTATTTTTTAAAATTAACAATTTGGTTATTATACTGGAATATTTCTATTATTTTATGTTTTAGTATAACTAATGAATTTTATTATTTTATTATATATAAGTAATTTAAATGTTATTTTTTGAAAAAAAAAAAATAAGTTGATAAATTGTGGGTACCTGTAGTGATGAGTACTTGCACCCGGTCGGGTGAGGGTGTGTTTTGGAAAATTCCACCCGATGCAGATTGGGAGTGGGGGTGGGTAGAAGAAATATAAGGTGGGTCGAGTGATGGATGTAGCTCTCTGCAACTCACCCTGGACCCATTGCCATCCCTAATACAACAATTGTATATCAAAATTATTTTTGCTAAATCTCAATGAAGCTGGTTTGATTTTAGGCAGTTGTTGAGCAAAGGTCAAAGGTAGTGGGCTTGAAAAAGCTATTTCATCCAAATAATAGTAGGAGTATTAACTAGGAATATCAAAACTCTTGGAGGTCCATCTAGCATTTATCATTTAAACTTTGGTTTTCATCCAAATAATAGTAGGAGTATTAACTAGGAATATCAAAACTCTTGGAGGTCCATCTAGCATTTATCATTTAAACTTTGGTTTTCTTATTAAACCAATAACAAGACGGAGGGATGAGAAATACATTTTGGATTAATTTAGATCGAGTCAATGAGATCCAACTAAAAGGCAATGAGATGGATGCATGCAATACTTTTTAGAGAGTTAGAAAGCGGTGTACTCAATGGTCTTGATTATATGAGCAAATAAAAAGTAAAAAGTGGAACAAAAAAGCATAAAGTTGCATTGCTTTTTCACTCAACATTACCACCGTTCAGTATTTTGATCATAACTCAATGTAAGGATGTCAATTAAAAATACAATTCAAATGGTTGCAACTTTTATAAAGACCATCAAACATAACTCTCACATTAATATGGTTAGGCAAGAGATTCTGATATGGAAGGACTAATGGACGGGCGTCCATTGCTACTGTATTTTTTCAAGATAAATTGTATTTTGCCATAAGATGGATGAACTGATGGACCACCGTCTCTGGAGTTGATGTTGGGTACTCTACTCACCATATAAGCGCGTTATAACTTATAAGTCATTTTTCTACTCCGACTCCTAGAAGAACCGTAGTCATTTTCATGTCTTTCTTTACACATATTTAGGCACTAGTGCAAAACAACTCACTCGCATCTGTTGTAGAAAGGAAAAGATATTTATTATACAACAGATGTCTATGAACAAGACATTGAAAGTTTTAGCCTTTAGGCATCTGTCTACACCTAGGTTAGAATAAGGCTAGATGTAGTTACTCAAACATATTTTGAGCTTGTAATAATCAATGATTCAACATTTGGATTTCAAGATTATTCTTTCATTGTTAATATAATAGATCATATAAGTCTATTTCTCTTTAATTTATCTCTTCCATTTACAATATTTATACTTATTACTTGTGTTTTTATGATTTTTATGCTTAATATGGATGTATGAGTAATTAGTTTATAGCATGGACTTAGATTATCTATCTTGAGGCTCTATTTGTGTTTTATTGCATAAATGGTAGAAATTCAATCTAGTATTCTCGAGTCTATGAAGGACTTCTGTTTGTATTTTGTTAATTGACATAGCATAGAGTGCACGGGTGCAATATCACTCTCTCGAAATTGAGTATTATATACGGACATACGGTATATGCAATATCAAAGAACTAGGCACTAGCAAATGAAAATAAACAATAAACCAAGTGTTATAATTTTGGCCTTCTTTAGCTCAACCTACTACAATGATTGAATAGTAATCTTATGCCAAGAACATAGTAGAGAGAAGAGAGAATAGTAAAAGTAAAGGAAAACTAGAAGAAAATGGAGGTACATGATGACTAAAAAAAAGAAAAAGAATTTAAAGGTAATTAAGCAATATAAGGTGTGGCAATCAAGCAAAGATCAGTGTTTCTTCCCACAGATAATCCTGATATTTCTCCGTCATGTCAAAAGAATCAACAGTAACTCCATTAGGGAGCTTCCAATCATAGTGGAAGAGCTAAAGGTGAAATGGAGTTTGCAAAACCAAATGCAAGTCCTGGACACATCCTCCTCCCAGCACCAAAAGGCAAATACTGGAAGTGATTTCCAGTGAAATCTATCGAACTCTCCTCAAATCTCTCGGGAGTAAAGCTCTCTGGATCTTCCCAGTACTTGGGATCCCTCCCTATTGCCCAAGCGTTAATCATTACTTTTGTTTTGAGGGATATGGTGTAGCCATTGACAATGCTTTCCTCCCTGCACTCCCTTGGAGAAAACACAGGAAATGGGGGATGGCACCTCAATATTTCTTTCACCATTATTAGCTTCAAATATGGTAGTTGTTCGATAATGTTGTCTTTCTCATCGTCCAATGTTTCTTTCCCTTTAAACACATCTCTCAGCTCTGTTTGTGCTTTTGCCATCACCCTCGGATTCTTCATCATTTCCAACATAGCCCACACAGTTGTTGCTGTTGATGTCTCACTCCCTCCTGCAAACATATCCTGCTCCACCTAGACCTGGCAATTCGTGTATACGGGTCCGTTCACTACTGGAAATTATGGAATTTCCGACCACCTGAAAATGATCTTAAATTAAGTCAATACTAAAAAGTCCAAAAAAGTGGTCGGAAATAGCAACAAAGGATTTTCCGGATACCAAAAGTGGTCGGAACAAGGCTTTCAACTTGATTTAAGATCACTTTCAGGTGGTCGGAAATTCCATAATTTCCAGTAGTGGTTAACGGGTTGACACGATAACGACACGAACACGATAAGGCTAAACACGGACTCGACACGTTATGGTTAACGGGTTTAAATTTTTAACACGAACACGAACACGATTTGTCAACGGGTTAAACGGGTTGACACGATAGACACGTTTTGTTAACAGGTTTCAAGTCGTGTCGACACGATATGACACGAAACCCGTTTAAACCCGCTATTTCTATTAATATATTTTAAAAAAAAAAAACTAAAATTTAAAGTTAAGTTCTATAAAAAAAAAATAAAAATACAACCTACAGTTCAATCATCAAACAAACTAAAAAATATTCCATCCATAACATTCATAAAATGATAAAATAACATCGAAAAATCAAAATTAAAGGAGTCCATACTAGTTTTTAGAATCAAATTGAATATAATAAAAATTCAAATTTCAAATTGCTGAATGGTGTAGGATCTTGGCCTAATGTAATAAATTCATCCTTAGTCATGTTCATAATATCTTTTCTAATTTCATTCATGACCATGGTTCTTACCTAAATGACAATGGTTCTTAGCGGGTTACAAACAGGTTTAGTAAACGGGTTCGTGTTAACGGGTTAACACGATAATATTAACGGGTTAAACGGGTTCTTAATAGGTTTAACGGGTTGACCCGTTAAGACACGAAATATAACGGGTCCTTAACGGGTCAACCCGTTAAGGACCCGAGACACGTTAAGGCTAAACACTAACCCGTTATTTTCGTGTCCAATTTCGTTTCGTGTTAACGGGTCGTGTCCATAATTGCCAGGTCTACCTCCACCCCATGCATAAAACAATCCGGCCATTTAATTAGCATTGCTTTATTTGCATGTTATTATGCTTATTTTCGAGTTAATACCCATTTTTGTCCTCACTATATTCTCGATTTAATTAGTTCTAAATGTCTTTTTTTTTTTCCTGCTTAATTGGGCTCTGGACATGATGATTTTACAGAATTGAGTCATCTGTTATGCCTTCCGTTTATTAGTTGTTAGAACAATGATAGATGGGTAATTTAATCTCAATTTAGTTATTGACTATAGTGATTCTTTCTCGACTTAATCTTGATTCTAACCACCAATACACGGCAGGCCTAACAAATGACTCAATTAAGGGTGTGTATGAAAACCTGAAAAATGACTTTTGGAAAATATTTTTTTGGAAAAATGAGTAATTTTTGAGAAACTTTTTTTTTCCAGTGTTTTGTTGAATTTCCGAAAACTGTAAGGGTCCGTTTAGAAACCTGAAAAATGACTTCCGGAAAATGTTTTTCGATTTTTCAGTGTTTGGATATAACAGGAAAATTCAGTCAACGGAAACATTTATCGTTGACTAGCGAAAACGAAGCCATTTTGGTGGGAAATGACTTCCGCCAAAATTTGGCTGAAGTCATTTTCCGCCAAACTTTGGCAGAAGTCATTTTCCGCCAAAATGTTTAATTATATAATTCTATTCATTTTTCCAGAAAATAAACCAAACACACCAAGTTTTCCAAAAAGCAACCAAGCATCGGAAAGGAAAATGTTTTCTGGAAAATGAGTCATTTTCCAGAAAACATTTTCTTACTTTCCAAACGGACCCGGAGTGTGTTTGGATCATTTTTCCAGAAAATGAGCAGAATTGTATTTAAAAATAAATATTATTTATAATTTTTTTTTTTAAAAAAAGGCAATGGTTTCATAAAAACTTCTGGTTTCCAACGGAAACTAGTAAATGGTTTTCCGTTGGAAAACTAGTTAATCTGGTTTCCATCGGGAACTAGATATTCCTGGTTCCGAAGGAAATAGAAACCAGATATTTCTGGTTACGACGGAAATTAACCAACGAAGAAGATGGAGAACAAGAAAAAAGTTGTTTAAGGTTTTCTGGAAAATGACATCCCCGGCTCTGAAAATGGACTTGTTTTCCCTTTGACCGAAAATCAATTTCCGTTGACCATCATTTTTATCCTCTTGCGAAACACTAGAAACACGGATGAGAACTTTATTGAAAAATATTTTCAGAAATCATTTTTTTCGGTTTCCAAATACAACCTAAGTAAAATCATAGAAAATCAAGAGTTAGTTAAATACAAAATAGACATTTAGGACTAAATTAAGTATTAACTTGATTATTTCAGGATGGGAAATAAGATTATATATATTATATATATAGTACGTACTAGGATTATGGCTTTGATGTTGTCGTGAGTGATGGCAACTCGAAGGTCACTGCTATCCATTGTCTTATGAGAACATCAATTAAACAATCACTACTCCCTGACTCAGTGCCATTTTCCAACCTCTCTCTGTGCTCTTTTATGATGTTTTCGATGATTGCGTCTACTTTGCGGTGAGCTTTGATGATCCTATTCTTGTTTTCGCGGCAGAGGCCGTGAAGAACCCTCCAGGAAGGAAACACATTGGCAAAATCAAAGCTGCCCAACAATTCCGATATTTCCTTAAGTTGCTCCATGAACTCTTCTCTCCCGAGGGGTAGCAATCAAGAAAATGTCATTTTTTTATTCCAAAGGCTAATCCAGGCATTACTGTCATCTTCAATGCTTCAGTTGTGATTCCAGGAGGCACGGTCCAGTCAAAGTCGTTGAGCATGAGTGCTAGAGGAAACTGAACATTTTCCATCCCAAATGAAATTCCGGGACATATTCTTCTCCCACCACCGAATGGTATGTACTTGAATTCACTTCACTTTATATCAATGGAGCTATCCTTGAATCTCTCGGGTATAAAGCTCTCAGGCTCCAATTATACTCGATGATATTGGAGACGTGTTGTTTCTATGAGAATATGACATCACTATAGCTACACTACTCAAAATGCTCCAAGGAAAGAATTGCCATGAGAATGGGATTCAATACTAATTGATAATTCAATGGCCATGAGAATGACATTGGTCCTATTTGGTAACATTGTTAGCTTAATCAGCGAATTTTGACTTGTTACACCACCATTAAATGTCATTTTGTATATAATTAGCTATCAATTAACAACTAATTTACCAATCATCTCTCTACACGTACCCAGTTAATTCTATCAGCTAGTCAACCCCGCTAATTCAATCAGCTAACAACTATCATCTATTTGTCAAGCACCCCATTGCAAAGTTGTTACAACTCGCCAAACCCGCTAATCCAATCGGCTAACAACTATCAGCTATTTGTCAAACACCTCCATTGTAAAGTTGTTAAATCTTCCTTGATCCTTGCTAAGTCTTTGCATGATCTCAGTCCCAAGATATCCCATAGTCAGGGGCGGAGCTACACATACACATGTTATATATTAACTTATTCTCAAATTTGATTTATGTAGATAATATATGTCCTATCTGCACATAATTTCATAAAACAAGAAATAAATTCCTAAAATAAGACACACAATATGTTGCGTGTTACACAACTACTAATCTATTTCAGGTATACAATCCATACGTTAAGGTACAGAATTGCATAACATGAGAGACAAACGCATAACACAAGACACACACACGTTTTTATATACTTTAGTTCAGGTACAAAATCAATACTCTTAGGTACAAAATTTCATAACATAAGAAACAAAGACGCATAACACAAGACACAAATATGCATAGCACAAGACATAAAAGCACATGTTACATTCACTTTATTTCAGGTACAAATCCATACGCTTAAGGTACATAATTGCATAACATGAGACACAGAAACGCATAACACAAGACACATACACATGTTTTAAAGTTTAAAAAAAAACATGTAACACCCCCGATTTCTAAATATAACTTGAATAACTTAAGGCAATAAACTGGCAAGATGGGTAGATAAAGACTAGGTCTGAATCAAACTGCGGAAGCTAGTTCAAAGTAATTGGGAATGTTATGCCACATTTAGGTCACACACAACCCAAATGCTAAGGCCAGTCTAAAATCCTCAACAAATAACATAACAAGTACTAGTCTTAAACAACACAAGTCTAGCAAAAGGCCCACAGGACGATAAACAGAAAAGTAAACTAGGGAGCCTAACTACAAGGCAGAAGCTAGTCTTGAACTATCATGCTCTCAAAGTTGGACTACTCCATACCTGATAATATGTTTTAAAAGATTAGCGAGAGATGCTAAGTAACTCCACTCCATAATGTAAAACTAAATAGATATACTTTTATATTTCAAATTAGGTTTTGCAACGGTATGACTACATACATATGCCATACCAACAAACTTAGCTGAAGAAAGTCAACGAATGATGCTCAATCAACAATATACAATTCTAGGGGCGCTAGACCCGATACAAGTAAATACAAGATTCAATACTCAAATCAAGAGGAATGATCAAAGCAATGACTCAATCCCACAATCAAACTCAACTCAAGGATATGATAGAGTAACCTCATCAAAGTAGAAGGGTTCCAACAATAAGATAGGCTCCAAAAGAGTATCAACAAAGAGATAGAGTTCAATAGATAGGCGGAACAACTGTACAATCCAAGCATAGTGCAATTCTCATCACAAGCGTGTCAACAATATCAATCTCAAGTCCACACGGGGACATCAACAATATCAACAATCACAAACAATATCAGTGTCAGTGGATCAGTGTGGAGAGCTTCCAGACAGCTCAAGTCCTCGCAAGGACACAATCAATCAAAGTTCAATGGAAACAGATCTAGCAACTTTAAGTGTATACACCCCCTATTGGGATTCCAAGCCCAACGGGTTAGCTACTATCTCTGACAACCGGGATACATTTCTACCAGGTTGCTCGCAAATCAATAATC